ATTTTGGTCTGAATTAAACTTAATTTAAGCCCTCTGCGCATTATTTCATAACTATAAATTTATTTCAAACATTCATACAAAGATTATAAAACTAGTACTGAATAGATTCAAAGTTTTTACGAGATGAAATAAGGTGAGCAAGTGCAATACCTTTACCAGTTTTTGGATCAGGAGAAAGTAATGTATATAATAAATATTTATGTTTATTGGTTCCATGAGTGGCATCAAGAAGAATAACAGGAATTTTGTGAATAATCTCATTACAAATTGGGACAACAAATTCAAAAAGCTTTCCCTTATCATATTCACTATTTCCTAAAAAAAAAAAAAAGCATTAAATAAAAAAAAATTTAAATAATAAATTAAAAAGAAATGATTAAATACCTTCTGCTTGAGAAATTGTACAAGTAAGATCTTTTTTTTAATTAAGTTCGATTCTCTATACTTTGGTTTCAGATTTATGCTTCATCTGATTCTCTATAATAACTTCTTTCCAAATATTATAGATATCATTACGAGTTACAAGATTATCTCGAATATTAATAGCATTTTTTTATTGCCATATATTTGACATTTCACAAGCTTGCTTTTGAAATAATCTTTGAACCTCTTTAACATTTAGTCCATCTCGAATATACTTAGTGATCTAGTTATGTACTTTCTTGGAAAGCCTTAAAGTATCTATATCTTTATCAGAGCCAGAAACATGATTAGTATGTAGTGTATATTTTATAAACATTTGTGTACTATCAGGTGTGTTTGTATTAGTAACAATAATACGAGATTTGCAGTCACATTTTTTGGTCTCTTTTTGATTAGGGCATTGCTTTTTAATTGAAGGATCTTTACCCACTACACTTTGGTAGCTTCCAACACGATAATATTTATATGTAACTCGTAAAATTACATTTCCTTTTTTTTTCAATATCACACCTTATATAGGTTGTACCAGTTGATTTTCTAAACTCCTGAACCTATTTATGAAAGTCAGTACTTGCTAGAATACTGTATTCAATACCTTTAGCTAGTTTACTATGAGAAGGATTATTATGTTTAATTACATTGCACCAATAGGTAATTTATTAATATCGATATTAATATTTTGATTAGTTTGAAGACATTCAACAAATTGATCAAAATGATTAAATATTTCTTCTAAACAGGCTTCCTGATCATCAGCATAATCCCCAGCATTAAACTCTGAAATATATTCTATTTTTTATTAATAATATTGCATAGTGTAAATATGAAAAAAATGAAAAGATTATAAGACAACTTATTTTTTTATATTTGATTTTTTTTTATTAGGCTTACTGAATCTTGCCAAAGTTAATTGATTCATGCAATTATTATTTACATGAAATTTACATAGTTTAAGTAGGTGTTATTTTATATTTATTAAACATAAATGAGTCAATAATATATATTTGTTTTCTCACAATTACATGTTAACAATTTAGTTTTAATTATTTTATTGTCACTTGATAAAGTATTTTAAAAAGAATATATTTACAAGGTACTTTAAATTTTATTTAATTAGGATTAACATATTACAATATTTAATTGTTTTAATTTTATTTAAATATGATAACATATTTATTTTTTTATTATTGTTATTGTAAAAATTAATAAAATTATGCATAGTTTAAAACCTAATAGTTTTTTTCTTGGAGCATTCAAGACTTTCAAAGGTGAGTTTTATATTTTTTATATTTTTTATTTTTTTTACTTTTAATGTTTGACAATAAACTAGCTTTTCATCACATGCAAAAAATATTTTTATTCTGAAACTTCATTGACTTTGCTAGTTAAATGTGCTAAATTTTTTAGCTATACTGCATATGATGTTTCACTCTTTTGTGCATGATTAACGATTACTATAGGTTTGAGATATTTGTTATTGCTAATAACAATATAAAACTTTATTAATTTATATTGTAAGCATTGGCAATCAAGACATACCATAGTGTGAATATTATTAACTTATCTAATATATATTTATGAACTAATAGCAATAATAATTTAAAACTGAATTTATAATCTTATATATAATGATTTTATTTTAAAATAATTAATTGTATTATAGTATGCTTTATTAATAGTTCTCTGTATAATTTAAATTATTACTAGTAGTATGTATGTATTTAATATTAAAATAAAACTTTAATAGATATAATAATGAGTTTAATTTTATGATTAAGTATCATGCTATTACAGTTTAAAAAGTCTTTATATGAATGTTTGAAATAAATTTATAGTTATGAAATAATGCGCAGAGGGCTTAAATTAAGTTTAATTCAGACCAAAAT